TTGCATTCATATCAAGATTCATTTTCAATTATCTTTATATACAGAAGATCAATTTAGTATATATTAAGTGAAGATTTCATCAGTTTGCACCCACACAGAAACACAAAGTGTAAAATACTGTTTCAGTATTAGTTATAGCATTACTTCACATTGGACAACACATTAAGGACAGATCCCACATGAGAAGTAAGTACACAGTGACTCCTGTTGTTGACTTACAAATTGACACTCTTGTTTATGGCGTCAGTAATCTCCCTGGCTCTAGTCATGAGTTGCCTAGGCTATGGAAGCCTTTTGAGTTCGCCGAATTTTATCTTATTCCAACAGGGTCATAGTCAAAGTGGAAGTTCTCTCCTCCCTTCAGAGAAAGGTACCTCCTTCTTTGATGGCCCGTTCTTTCCACTGGGATCTCACTTGCAGAGATCTTTCATTTAGGTTTTCTTCTTCTTTTTTTTTTTTCTCCTGAGTGTCTTGGCTTTCCATGCCTAAAGTACTCTCATGGGCTCTTTAGCCAGATCCGAATGCTTTAAGGGCTGATTCTGAGGCCAGAGTGCTGTGTAGGACATCTGCCATTCTATGAGTCTGCTGTGTATCCCACTTCCCATGATGGATTGTTCTCTCCTTTTTTAATTCTATCAGTTAGTATTAGACACTAGTCTTGTTTATGTGATCCCTTTGACTCTTAGACCTATTAGTGTGGTCAGCTGTGAACAGAAATTGATCACTGGGACTAGTGAGATGGCATTGGTACATGCCACCTTGATGGGTTTGTATTGGAATCCCCTGGCACATTTCTAACTCTACGATTTGGGGCAAGTCTGATTGAGCATGTCCCAAATTGTACATCTCCTCCCTCTCTTATTCCCACTCTTATATTTAACAGGCATCACTTTTCAGTTAAAATTTAAACACCTAAGAATAATTGTGTGTTAATCACAGAGTTCAACCAATAGTACTAGAACAAAACACACAAAAAAATACTAAAATGGATAAAGTATTACATTGTACATCAACAGTCAGGACAAGAGCTGATCAAGTCACTGTTTCTCAGTGTCAATTTCACTTCAACAGGTTTCCCCTTTGGTGCTCAGTTAGTTGTCGCCAATCAGGGAGAACATATGATATTTGTCCCTTTGGGACTGGCTTAATTCACTCAGCATAACGTTTTCCAGATTCCTCCATCTTGTTGCAAATGACCGGATTTCATTGTTTTTGACTGCTGTATAGTATTCTATGGAGTACATGTCCCATAATTTCTTTATCCAGTCTACTGTTGATGGGCATTTGGGTTGGTTCCAGGTCTTAGCTATTGTGAATTGAGCTGCAATAAACATTAATGTGCAGACAGCTTTTTTGTTTGCCAATTTAAACTCCTTTGGGTAAATTCCAAGGAGTGGGATGGCTGGGTTGTATGGTAGGGTTATATTCAGGTTTCTGTGGAATCTCCAGACTGACTTCCATAGTGGCTTAACCAGTTTGCATTCCCACCAACAGTGGGTTTGTGTCCCTTTTTCCCCACATCCTCTCCAGCATCTATTGTTGTTAGATTTCTGAATGTGAGCCATTCTAACCGGGGTGAGGTGAAACCTCATTTTGGTTTTGATTTGTATTTCCATGATTGCTAGTGATCTTGAACATTTTTGATTATTGTATCTTCTTGTTGAATCAAACCTTTTATCAAAATATAATATCCTTTTTATCTTTACAGTTTTTGATTTAAAGTCTTTTATCTGACATGAGGACAGTTATTCCTGATCATTTTTGGTTCCCATTTCCTGGAATATCTTTTTCTAGTCCTTCACTTTCAGACTATGCATATATTTGTGATGTGAGTTCCTTGTAGGCAGTATAGAGTAAGGTCTTGGATTTTTTAATTTATTGAGGAAAACTAAGTCTTTTGGCTGTTTAAATTAATCCATTTATAATTAGGTTAGTATTGATAGACAAGAACTAATTTTTGTCATTTTATTGACTTGATATTGATTCCACTTGCGCTGTTAGTGAACTTGGTGGTGTCATGTGTCTTCATGTTGACTTCTAATGCAGGATGCCTTTCAGAATGTCTTGTAAGGCTGCTCTGGTGATGCTGGATTCTCTGTTTTTGCTTATCTGGAAAACACCTGTTTTTCCTTCACTTCTAAAGGATAGCTTCACTGGATATAATATTCTTGGTTGGAAATTTTGTCTAAAGAGAGAAGTTTTCCATCTCCTGGTTCACTCCCTAAATGGCTGCAATGATCAGAACTGGCCAGGAGCCATGAGCTTCTTCCATGTCTTTCATGTGGGTGCAGGGTCCCAGGGGGTTGGGCCATCTTCTACTGCTTTCCTAGGCCATAGCAGAGAACTGGATCAGAAGCGTAGCATCTGAGACTCTAACTGGCACTCATTTGGGATGTTAGTGCTGCAGGCAAAACTTCACCTGCTATGCCACAGTGTCAGCCCTGGAAATTGTTTTAAAGATATTGAATATATCATTCACTCCCTTCTGGCCCATAGGGTTTCTTCTGAGAAGTCTAATGATAGTCTGAGTGGTTGTATTTATATGTAACTTGATACTTTTCCTTTACTGTCTTTAGGATTCTCTCCTTGTCCTCAACTTTTGATAATCTGAGTATAATATGCCTTGGAGAAGATCTTTTCTTTGGATGAGTTAGCTTGTGGTCCTTCAAGCTTTCTGTGTCTTGATGCCCATGTCTCTTTCAAGACGTACGACCTTTTCAATTATTATTTCATTTAGCAGATTGTCAACACCTTTTACCTTTCCTTCTACAGGAATACCTATACTATAAATATTTGGTCATTTAACATTATCCCAGATTTCATGTAGATTGTTTAATTCATTTTAATTCTTTTCTCTTTATGTCTGATTATACTATTTCAAAAGTTTTGTCCTCAATATCAGAAATTCTTTCCTCAACTTGGTCTATTCTGCTGCTAATATAATATAATATAATATAGTATAATAATATGATACAATCTCTTTTTTTCTTTGTCTCACTGATTGAGATTTCATCCCCAAATTTCTCTTTGGTTCTTCTTAATGACTGCTTTCTCCTTAGTAATATTTTCATTCATAGAGTTTCCTTATCATCATTATTTTGATATTTATTTCTGGTATTCATACATTTCTTTCAGATCAAGATCAATTTGTGGAGAATTATTGCTTTCTTTTGGGGGTATAAAACTACTTTACTTCTTCATTTTTCATATGCCCCTATGTTGACATCTGCTCATTTGGTATAATAGTTCCTTCTATTTATGCAGTTTTTTTGTTTTGTTTTGTTTTTTTTTTTCAGAGTTCATGGTTTAATTGGATTGCATTGTACCATTTACCATGTTTCTTTGGCTTTGGTTCTAGGTGAGTCTAGATGTGCCGCCCCTGAGTGATTTCTTCTGTTTTAATCAGTGTCAGCTGTGACTACAAGTGACACAATGGTATACTGTGGATTTCCTTGCATGTGTGTCTTCAGCCAAAAGGGTGTTCAGTATCAATCACGTTGGGGAATGTGATAGCCATGACCTTTTTATAGATGTTGAGGGAGACATAGGAGGCTGTCCCCTTGCTCCACTGGTAAATGTGAGTGATGCTGTGGCACCAAATGCTGTGATTGTAGGACTGTGACATCAGGTCTTTCTAGGAGAGAAAAGTTTGTGCTGTGGCTTATAACACTAACAGCTCTACTCCTAGGACTGGAGGATGTAAATTGAATCCTGCTCCAGTCCCATTTTGCTGTGGCTGGTAGGAGTCCAGGTAGGTGAAATATGTGTAGGTTTTCCTTATTTTCACTGAGTAGATTCCAGTGGATTAAGGAAATGAGAAATGATTGTTACAGTCCTGGTGTTGCAACATACAGTGGGATCATTACCTAGATATTCCAGGATGGGAAGGGAAGAATTTTTGAATAGTCTGTTACCAGTGCTAGCCTCCAGAAGCTAAGGGAACCACCTCCCCACCAGCTCACATAGAGTGAGCTAGTGTACTTCTGAAGTTCTGTAGTTACAGGACACAGGGGAAATGTCCATTGTCCCCAAATTTGCCTAGACTCTTGACTTATTCTGATAGCAGAGGTGTAGAAATCAGTTGCTTGACTTTTCATAGTTGAATCCACTGTTCTGTGGCTTTGGGGACCAGAGGGGCAGTGTGGCTTCCCTTCTTAGAGTCCAGCAGTTACTCAGACCCCAGTGAGCTCCCCACATTGAAGACACAGATAGTTGATGATTGTGGAATTCTCTGTACACAAAAGCTGTAGGTGACGGTGTGGGCAGCAACTTCTTCCTTCCTTGATTTGGTAAGATGGCAACTCACAGTCAGCAGCTGACTGCCCTGTGAGACTGGCACCAACGTTGTCTCTGTCCTATTTCATCACTGTCCATGGAGTCTTTGTTCATTTTGCTACATATGCACTAAAAATTTCTGTCACTCAGAATCTTGGAAATGTAGCCATTTCTTTGTATTTTTTTTTAAAAACAATAGCCCTGCTGCAGTTGGTGTGACGTCATCCTTCTCAGCCATCTTGTATCCTCAGCTCTATTCTTAGCACCTTTGTCAAAGACCATTTGGAAGTAAATATGTGAGTTTACCTCTAGGGACTCTGTTCTGTCCTATTAGTCTATGTTTTTATGCCAAATATGATGCTATTTTAATAGCTTTGTGATTTGTATTAAAATCAGATAATATAATTTCTCATGCTTTATTCGTTCTGTTCATGACAGTTTTGGCTACACATATTAGTAGTATTTTTTCTAGTATGTGAATATTGTCATTCACATTTTGATAGGAGTTGCAGTGAATATGTAAATCTTATTATAAGGTATATGCATTTAAATGATAATGTGTCTCAATCCATGAACAATGGAAGCCTATTCATTTCTTTGTGTCCTCTTCAAATACTTTCACCAGTGATTTATAGTTTTTATTGTATAATCTTACATTTTTTGATTAAGTTTATTCCTAGGTGTGTGTTTTGTTTTATTTTGGGACTATAGAAATAAGATTGCTCATCCTTAGCTGGCAGTGGAAATACCATAATCACAGAGGTGGTTTTCCCAGGATAAGGCTGATCCATTGCACTCTGGATGTGCTAATTCCTTTGATTTCCCCAAATGTTGGAAACTCCACTACATAATTTGTGGTACTGGGGACTGGTTTGTGCTTCCTTCCCCTAAAAGAAAAATTTTTAGAAAATGAAGTAAAGCTGCTTTCTTGATTTCTCTTTCCAATAGTTTACTATTAGAGTATAATAATACTTCTGATGCTTTTGTGTTTTCTTTATATCCTGCAAACTTGTTGAATGTTCTTATTGGTTCTCATATCTTTTTGTAGTAGTCTTTGGCATTTTCTGAATAAAATATCATATAATTTGTAAGCAGAGACATTTGACTTCCTCCATTCCAATTTGGATGCAATTTATTTTTTTCTCTTTAACATTTGTCCGGGAAAACACTTATAGTAGTATGTGGAATAAAAGAGAAAGTGGGCATTCTTGTCATATTCTAGATTTTAAAGAGAAAGCCTTCAGCTTTTCTTAAGTCAGTATGATGTAGGCTGCAAGTTTGTTATACATATATAGCCTTTGTTGTAATATGTTTCTTCTATATTTATTTTTGTGGGATCTTCTAACTTTGAGGGATGTTAAATTTTATCAAATACCTTTTCTTTATCTATTGATTTTATTATATAGTTTTTTTAAATATTTATTTTATTTATTTTATTTATTTGAAAGACAGAATTACAGAAAGAGGTAGAGACAGAGAGAAGTCTTCCATCCGTTGGTTCACTCCCCAAATGGCTGCAATGGCTGGAGCTGTGGAGATCTGAAACAAGGAGCCAGGAGCTTCTTTTAGGTCTCCCACATGGAGTCCAAGGACTTGGGCCATCTTCTACTGTTTGCCCAGGCAGTAGTACAAAAACAAATAGATTATTTAATCTCTTTGTCAGTTCTACAAGCTGACATTAAAGTAATGTAATCCCTCCATAAGCCAGTAGCAACACAGCTATGAGATTTCCATAAAGGCAGGTAAGTAGCACACACTGAGAGATAGAGAGAATGAGAGTGAGAGTGAGAGTGTGTGTGAAAGAGAGAGAGAGAGAGAGAGAGAGAGAGAGAGAGAGAGAAACCAATCTTGAGCTCTTGGTTCCTTGATTTTTTTTTCTTTTCAACTTTTATTTAATAAATACAAATTTCCAAAGTACAACTTTTGAATTATAGCAGCTTTTCCCCCAATAACTTCCCTCCCACCGCAACCATCCCATCTCCCACTCCCTTTGCCATCCCATGCTTCATCACAATTCATTTTCAATTATATTTGTAAACAGAGATCAATTTAGTATATATTAAGTAAAGATTTCAACATTCTGCACTCATAAAGACACACAAAGTGTAGAGTGCTGTTTGAGTAGTAGTTTTACCATTAATTTGCATAGTACAACACATTAAGGGCGGAGGTCCTACATGGGGAGCAGCTGTACAGTGACTCCCGTTGTTGATTTAACAATTGACACTCTTATTTATGTTGTCAGTAATCAACCGAGGCTCTTGTCAAGAGCTGCCAAGGCTATGGAAGCCTCTTGAGTTCATTAACTCCAATCATATTTAGACAAGGCCATATTCAGCTATCCCACCCCTTGGAATTTTCCCAAAGGAAATTAAATTGGCAAATAAAAGAGCTGTGTGCACCTCAATGTTTATTGCAGCTGAATTCACAATAGCTAAGACATGGAATCAATCTAAATGCCCATCAACAGAAGAGGATAAAGAAATTAGGGGATATATATACTCTATAGAATACTATACAGCAGTAAAAAAAATGAAATCCAGTCATTTGCAACAAAATGGAGGAATCTGGAACACATCATGCTGAGTGAAATAAGCCAGTTCCAAAGGGACAAATATCATATGTTCTCCCTGATTGGTGACAGCTAATTGAGCACCTAAAAGGAAACCTGTTAAAGTGAAATAGACACTATGAAAAACCATGATTTGATCAGCCCTTGTCCTGACTGTTGAGGAAAAACTTACTATTTTATTCCTTTTAGTGTTTTTTGTTCTATTTACACCATTTGTTGAACTCTTTAATTAACACACAATTATTCTTAATCATTTAAATTTAACTGAAAAGTGACCCTTGTTAAATATAATAGTAGGAATAAGAGAGGGAGGAGATGTACAGTTCAGCACATGCTCACTTGGAATTATATATATATTATATAATAGAATTGTATTATAATAAATATATTATATATAAAATAATATAAAATATTAACAAATATTGTTAAAATTATCATACCCAGTGTGTTCAAATATACTTCATTTCATTTGTCAAAGCTGCCCATTAACAGTGGCTGTCAAGAAAATGTCTGAAAGTATCTCTTTGAGTTGACTGGATGGTGGAAAGAACAATGATGAATTTAGTTATTCATGACCTGAGTATCACAGAGATAGGTCGCAGTGTGTGCTGCTTACTTGCCTTTATAGAAATTTCATAGCAATGTTGCTACTGGCTCATGGAGGAATTGCATTACTTTAATGTCAGCTTGTAGAACTGACAAAGAAATTAAATAATCTTCTTGTTATTATACTATAAAAACTCATATACATATCAAACTAGTTGAGTTTATTTTCTGCTGATGTTCAGTTAATAAAAGTTTGTATTTTGGTAATTCAGAAAAATCAAACAGTAATTTTTTTTTTCTTTTTATTGCTTGCCAATTATCAATTTAAAATAAATACTTGAGTAATACAAAAGCACTGGGAAGTCATTGGTGTTCAAAAATAGTTTCTCAAAATGGCACTAAATCTTGAAAAGTCTACTGTGGAGGTGTAGCACATAATGACAAGAAGATAGACTGAACTATGTGCCATTCAGACATAAGGCATGCAAGGATTTCTCATTTTTCATCACCATGCATTGACATAACTAGATGTACTCCAAAGTACTTGACTTGGGACTTTTAATAATTCATTTTGCCTCAATGGGAAATAATTCATAGCAAATTTGGGTTCACACTACTTGGACTCTGGGATTACTTTCCATGATAATATTCTATAACTATTTTATGCCAAAAAGTACATTTAGTGGAACAATACAACTGATAATACTATGTGTTTTATTTTATCAATCAATAACTAGTTCAATAGACATTACCAACTAATAATGATAAAATAATAATGTATACTACTGCTACATAGGAGAAACTACATGTAAACAACTTATTCAAAGATACAGAATTGTTGCTAAAATAATAATTATAAAATTATTCTCTGTCTCCAGATTTCTGCTGGTGATATTTTTCTGATAAATAAGACTAAAAAGTGTAGAGTTGTAGTATAATATACTCAAGTGGTAGGAAAAAAGTTTCAGTATGGCTGGGACCATCCCAGAGTTGTTTTTCCTTGGATTATACACACATAGATAAAATCCTTCAACTGATAAGTATTCATTAAATTATTTTGGGCAAATAATTATCAGACTGCTGTGCTGTCTATATCTTTCCCACAACTTACTCTATGTCATTTTTTCAGAATTGAACTTATCCAGCAATCAAAATTGGGGAAGTCTGAGCTATTCTGATTAATATCAAAGTAATACTGAATTCCATCAACTACAAAATAAAATTCACACTGCCTGATCATGGCATCAATCAAGTAGGCAGATGGAATTGTGATATTCCACCTACAGGCTCTGTTTAGTATTTTGTAAACTATTTAGAAAACAAACTGTGTAACAGGAAAGTTGTGAAAGGAATTTAACATCGAAGTTCAACATTTAGCTTTTAGCAGCATCCATTTGAGTGCCAGTTGAATTCCTGGCTGCACCACTTCCAATTCAGGTCCCTAATAATAAGCCTGTGAAGGCAGCGGCAGATGGTCCAAATTCTTTGGACCCTGCCACCGTCAGCCGTTACAGTCATCAGGAGAATGAATCAGCAGATGGAAGATAGCTCTCTCTCCATTCTCTCTCTCTCTCTCTCTCTCTCTCTCTCTCTCTCTGTAATTTTGCCTTTCAAATAAATAAACATTTTAAAAAATAAAGAAAAATTTGAAGTCATGAAGCATCTTTAATATGTGAATATTATGGATTAAATGGTATATATTACTTCTGTACAAATTTTTAAATAATTTTTGATAATATTTATTTATTTGTTTATTTGAAAGACATGGAGATGGAAAGAGACAGAGGGAGAGTTCTTCTATCCTCTTGTTCACTCCTCAAATGCCTACCACAACCATGGCTGGAATGGACCAGAGCCAGAAGCCAGGAACTCAATCAGAGTCTCCCATGTGAATGTCATGAACCCAAGTACTTGAGCCATCCTGCTATGCCTCTCAGTGTTAATAAAACCCGTGCTGCCTTATCTGAGGTGCCATCTTGAATCTTGGCTGCCATTTTAGGCTCTGGCCAAGTCACCATCTTGTACAATAAGTTTCAGCCTCTCCAAAATCCAGCTTGGCTTACTAGAAGTCAGGTAACCAAATGGCCCAACTATAAGCACCAACTCCACCCCAACTATAACAAGATTTGCTGCTCCCACTCCCCTACCCCTGCAACGCTATAACAAGACCTGCTTTCCTGTACATTCTCTCTCTCAACCCCTCTTTCCACCCCATTGGTCCCCCTACCCCTGACAATAAACTTGTCCTTTAACTTCGGTGTTTGGTGTGTTTTGTGGTGGCCTTTCACCCAGAGTACACATTAGTAGGATGCTGAATTTGGAACTAGAACCAGAGATCAAACACAATCAATCTGTTGTGGGATGGAGGCATCCCCAAAAGGGGTCTTAATCACCCTTTTGCCAAATGTCCACCCTGAGAATATATTTATAATAATGAAAAGTGCCTAAGCTATTAATCATCAATTAATCAATAAAAACATATTTTAGTACTGACAAGGCTGAAGTCCTTTGAAGCAAAAGACCTACAGTATAGAGTATCAGCTTCACTAACTTCATTCTGTAACTTGGGTATTCATTCTCATTTATTTTTCAAACACTTACACACATGAAATATTTTACTTTATAAAATGTGTACATAATTTTATATATGCAGTATATGTTTATTTGTGTGTGTTTTCCACAGAGAAGTGATGCACAACTATGTCTCATATTTGCTTGAAAAATAAAGGACGATTCTAATTCTTTCAGGAGGGAGATCATCCAATAATAAT